TATACAATTAAAATGGCTGCATTATAACTAGGGCCAAATGATTAAAAAGAAAAGACCAATTAAAGATGTTCTTAGCAGTTTTCTTGACCTTGCAGTAGCTATCCAATATCATTTTGTCATCATCAGATTGTGTAGCAATGGAAATGCACTGCAGTAATTGATTTTGTAATAGGATCAGGTGATTTACTAGCTGCACTGACAACCACTTGCTTGCTTGCTCTGAGCTGTGGAGCACTCTAATGGATGTTGTGATTGCAGCCTGGAGTTGATCTGAGACTGCTGGTCACTTAAAGCAGCAGCAGCATTTATTTTTGAAATGAGAAAAGTTAAATTTTTTTCTCTTATTTTCTTTTTTGCTTTAAGTTTTGGATAACCACAGTAATTTCATAATTAATTTGAGTATCCTCATGAAATTTTAGAAATTGTATATTATTCCACTCATCAATTCATAAAAAGTTAATTGGTATGATTAACCTTGAATAGAATAAAACATCGTCTCTCTGTTTCCTATTTCTAGCTTAGCATCAACATGTGTATCAACATACTCTGGTCTTGACATCAGAGCATGTGTCTTAAGATTTAAGAATTTATGTTTAAATATCCTGTGTTATCTAAGTGACATAGAATATCCTTAACATTTATAGATTTCATCAGTTTCAAACTCTTAACTATAATTTTAATATTGTAATTATGATAAATTCTTGATCTAGCAAATTGTGCTAGAAAATTGTTTTGTGTCCTTTTTTGGTCTTTTGCTCTCAGTGATTTCATGGATGCAAGAATATTAAGAAATCTGAGGTGTATCATTTCCAAAGGATACTGATGAAAACATTAGTAGCCATTTTAAAGTAATGTTTAAGGATATAGCAAATTCAAAACAATATGTAGGGTAATGTAATATCAAAATTATAAAATTTAAAGTGATTAATTTTGGGGGGGACATTTCTTATTAATTTTCCATGGAATTGAAGATTTCATAAGAAGAATGGTATTAATCATGGTCTTTGGCAATTTTATTAACATGAACAACCTTTTAGGGAGCAAAACCTTCGGGCTGCCAAACATTTTAAGACTAGTTCCTCAACATTTTAGGTTAAAATATACACAATGTCTTTGTTGGTTTAGATCATAACATTTTATTTCTGTATTTAGGAACAGAGAGGTAGATACAAAATCTTGCAAGAAGTTGTAGGGATGGGAAACTCCAAGAAACCATTCAGCTCTGGTCTGGAAACCTGTTTTTGGTACTTACAGCTAAGCCACCTGGGAAAAATCATAAAGTGATTATATTTTATTAATGTTTTTGTTTTCATCTTTCATGGTTTTTGAACAACTTATTAATTACAAATGTAGAAGTATAGGATTAACTGTGTCTGTAGAATAGAATTACTGTTGTAGAAAGAAGTAAGACTCAGGTGCTAAGACCTTACCTACAATAAACTGCATTAGGAAAGCAAATGTCATCTCTTCCCTTTCCTCCTTCCCACACAACACCTCTACCTCTCTGACTAATATACATTAAAAATGTTTTGTACAGAACCAGACACATACAAATATGGACTTCTCTGTCATTCCCTATTTATGTTCTTGCCATAGGATACTCTTTCCTAACCATGTGCAAAAACAAAATAACTAAAATTAGTAATTTGCCATGATAGAATCAAGTATAACATTGTCATTATATTAGAATCAAGCCACCATGTGAAGAGGGTGTCTTTCCTTTTCTGATGTAATCAACTCCTTGGCCTTAATATTTCTTGAAAGATGAAAATATTACTGCTATTGTTCTACACATTTTCCTGAATTTATATACTTTAAAAATTAATTGAAGAAGATGGTAAAGTAATTTAAACTGGAATTTGTAATTGTTTATTATTTAATAGGCAACTTTTTATCCCCCTCCACAATCCTCCATAAAACTTCTGTGACCATTAAAAATAGGAACATAAAAATGTTAATATCATTTTGAGATTTGATCATTTCACATTTCCTTTATGTGAAAGTAATGCGCTATTCACAAATTAATTATTGATATGTTTCACTGGAGTGTTTGGAGTGATCTACCTTAGAGTATTGTTTATTTTTTTTGCCATGAATCGAGCAAATAGGAAGAAAGAAAATACCAGTATATGTTGATTACTTTTTTTTAAAGAATGATTATAAAAGACGATGTTATGATTGCTCTCTAATTAGACAGTATTTCATGTAAACTAACTGAGTAGTAAACTTTGTGAAGTTCCTGCCCCAGTGGAGCTGCCTTTTCTAAAGAGCCCTGAATCAAGTATTTAAAGGCTTAGATTTAATTAGGCTCTGCCACTAATCTGCTTGATGATCTTGATCAAATTATGAATGAACATTTTAAAGTATCCTAAACAGACTTTTAAAATGACCATTAGGGAGAAATCAGTTTACCCTTACCAGTGTGAGGTAGTTACAATAGTTGTCCTGGAAGATATAGAAGTTAGAATTAAGTGGAAGGCTGAGATTTCTTAAAAGAATCAGGTTATAGATGATGTTGATGTCTCCTTTTAATCTTTCATATCTTTTGGGGGGTGCAAGGATGCATAGTTTGCAAAAAGTGCTGGTTTATATGTGTGTGTGTGTTTATGTGTGTGTGTGTGTGTGTGTTTCCTCTGCTGGGGATTGATCTCAGGTCCTAGCACATTTAGACAAGCGTTGTACCCTTGAGATATACACCCAGCTCTTGTTTTACCTTTTATGATATTTGGTAGTCTTTAAATAGAATAGTTATCCTAGAAATTGTCTTAGTGGTTAAAAGAACAGAGCTGGGATTAAATTCTGACATTGGTACTTGTTCATGTGACAGTGTTCTAAGACAATTTTATTAAAGTGTTTATTCAGTACCTAGCATGTTTTTAAGTAATCATTTTTCTAAAAAATGGTAGGCTATTGTTATCAAAACTCTGTGTATGTTTATTAGATAAGCTATGTGTAGTTCCCTTTGTTGCTGAGCCAAAGAGTCTTGTGGGTTGGTTGAATTAGGTGCTTTAGCAGTGCTGGTTTTGTAATAATAATTATAACATCTTTATTGAACTCTTACTTTGGACCAGGTGCTGTACTAAGCATTTCTGTGTTAATTATCGTGTTCATGAGAAAGATACTCTTAATTATTATTTTTAAAGGTGAGGACATTGAGACTTTTTTTTTTTTTTTTGGTAGGACATTGAGACTTGAGAAGGTTTTGCTAGGGAATAGCAGAACCCAGTAGTAAAACTTATATTTTAAAATTGCTTTTTACTCCCCAAATTGTGGGTAGACTGCTGTACTTGGTGTACTTTTCCAAGTATTTGCACTTTCAGTTAAGCTGTGACTGTAGAAATGAAGCAAAATGCTGGTCTGAAGACATACAGTTACCTAATTTTGTATTTTGAATAAGAAGTAAGTTCACTTCTTACTTAGCAGTAATTTATCTGTAATAGTTACTCATGTAAATGAAGCATGCATTTACTCTAGAGTAGTTTTTCTCAAAGTGTGGTTCATGGGTCACTTACATCTGTATCACTCAGGGTGATGGTTAAAAGTACAAATTTACATCATGATCCATTGACAGAATCACTTGAATGGGATCCTGGGTTCTTCATTTTAAAATAAACTCCCCTCATGGTTCTTTTGTATACCAATTTGAGAACCATTGGTATTGATAATGTGTTCCTGGTTCACCTATATACACATTGTCCATCAGCTTTTCTTTCCTTAAGAATTCAAGGATAATTTTTAACAATCCTTCAGATTGTTAACATGTAGTCATGTGAACGAATAAGCAGTCTCATATACTAATGATTAAATGTGAACTAGTTATTCTGTGCTAGTGATTTTAGGAACATGTTTATGTAATATTAAAAGTATTCATAAACCTCGACTCAGTCACCCTACCTTTAGGGATTTATCCTAAGGAAATAATCAGAGATTCACAGGAAAATTGAGGCACAGGCATGTTCATACCAGTATCAATTATAATAGTGAAAACTGGAAACAATTCAGTTTCAAACATCAGAGAAACAGTGACATTATTTATTATATTCATTTGTTTGGACTATCACCCAGCCTTAAAACATCATATTGGGAAGATTATTACATACATAATAAAATACTTATGACGGATATAAAAATCTCAAAGAAAGAAAGTAAAATTGTGATAATACTATATGCACTCAGTACATATAGAGTTAGGTTAAAACTAAAATTAAATGGAATTGTCATTTTTGTAGGCCAGAAATGGTTGAATGCCAGCATTTTCACAGCACTAGCTTTTTTTTTTTTTTTTTTTTTTTTAAGTTGTAGGTGGACACAGTGCCTTTATTTTATTTTTATGTGGTGCTGAGGATTGAACTCAGTGCCTCAGGCATGCTAGGTGAGCGCTTTATCCCTGAGCCACAACTCTGGGTGCCCTGGCACCAGCTTTTAAAGTTTGTATTCATATTGTTGAGGAAAAGACCGGAAGGAAATACAACAAATTTATAAGGTAATTATCTCTGCATGGTGAGATTGTAGATAATTTAAAAATAATTCTTTGCATGTTTTTATTTTCAAATTTTCTAAGTCTTAGATTTGACCCTTGTAATGAGGCAAAATAAATTTCTAACAAAAACAGTTATTGAAAACAGTTGGAAAGCTTCTGTGACAGTCCCAAGTAAAATTTTGGTAATCTTTTAAGGAAGCATAAAAACCTATCTGTTACTCATTTTTCTTAACTTTTTTTAATTTGATAATGAGTATATTTATGTATATTGAACATATACACCTGTGTTAGACAGTTTTCTGTTGCTGTAACAATTACCTGAGGTAAACAATCTAAAAACAGGAAAGTTTATTTTGGATTTTGGTTTCAGTTCATTGTTGATTAACCCTAGCTTTTGACCCTGTAGCAAAATAATATATCATGGCAGGGGAGTACACAGGTGGCAGGCAAAGGGAGGAGGGGCCAAGGTTCCAGTATCCCCTTGAGTGCACTTTCCAATGACTTAATTTCCTTTCTCTAGGTCCCACCTGCTGAAGGTTCCACCACCTCCCAACAGCACCACAGGCTAGCAATCAAGCTCAGTTACTTGGGAGGCTAATGCAGAAGGATCATAAATGTAAGGCCAGCCTGGAAAACTTAGCAAGAACTCAACAGAAGTCTTTTATTGCTGAGTAATATTCCATTGTGTGTGTGTGTGTGTATATATATATATGCCACAGTTTATCTTTATTCATTCATCTATTGAAGGGCATCTGGGATGGTTCCAAAGTTTAGCTATTGTGAATTGAGCTGCTTTAAACATTGATGTGGCTGTACAACTGTAGTATGCTTGTTTTAAGTCCTTTGGGTGTAGACTGAGGAGTGGGATAGCTGGGTCAAATGGTGGTTCCACTGAAAGTTTTCTAAGGAATCTCCATACTGCAGATTGGTGCAACCAATCTGGATTTACCTTGGTGATAAAGCATTTACCTTGGGTTCAAACCCCAGCCTCACCAAAAAAGAAAGGGATGGGGAGTGTGGGGGGGATGGGCCTTGAAGTAAGATATTAGTGAGGTAAAAACCTAAACCCAATACTTAATATGATCTGAGGCAAATCTGTAATAGTTTCAATGTCTCCTTAACTCTAAAGTGAAGTTAATCGCTAGTCAGCGTTTTCGGTGAAGATTAAAACAGATAACAGGGCTGGGGTTGTGTGGTAGAGTGCTTGCCTAGCATGTGTGAGGCCCTGGCTTCAATCCTCAGCACCACATAAAAATAAACAAATAAAACAAAGGTATTGTGTCCAACTACAACTAAAAAATAAATATTAAAAAATATAGCAATATAAAACACCAAATACCTGGTATATGGTAGATTTGTCAGGACATAGTATATATTACTCTTAAACCATAATTTTAAAATTAAAATATAAAGCATACTAAGGTGGAAGGGAGATGGATACCTTCCTTTCAGATTTTCAGCATGGTAATTTTCAAACTAAATATGACATAGATTATTAATTTAAGTCTATTTAATGTTATAAATTAAATTACAACTGAGATTTAAAATAACATAATCTAAAAGGAAGATTTAAAAAATATTTATTTGTTTTAATCAGTTATACATGACAGCAGAATGCTCTTCGATTTATTGTACACAAATGGAGCACAATTTTTCACTTCTCTCGTTGTACACGAAGTAGGGTCACACCATTCGCGCACTCATACATATTCTAGGGTAATGATGTTCTTCTCATTCCACCATCTTTCCTATCCCCATACCTACCTCCCTTGCCCAATCCAAAGTTCCTCCACTCATCCCATGCCACTACCCCACCCCGCATTATGGATTAACATTCATTTATCAGAAAACATTTGGCCTTTGACTTATTTCTCTTAGTATGATATTCTCTAACTCCATCCATCTACCTGCAAATGTATGATTTGATTCCCTTTTATTTCTAAGTAATTTTCCATTGTGTATATATACCACAGTTTCTTTGCCCATTCATCTATTGAAGGGCATCTAGATTGGTTCCACAGTTTAACTACTGTGAATTGAGCTGCTATAAATGTTGATGTGGCTGTGTAGCTGTAGTATGCTGGTTTTAAGTCCTTTATGTATAGACTGAGGAGTGTATAGCTGGGTCAAATGGTAGTTCCATTGAAAGTTTTCTAAGGAATCTCCATCCTGCTTTCCAGATTGGTTATAGATTATGTATTGGTTATATAGATTTTGCAGTCCCACCAGCAATGTATGAGTGTGCCTTTTTCCCAACATCCTCGCCAACACTTATTGTTGTTTGTATCTTATTAAGCTAATAGTTGCCATTCTCACTGAAGTGAGATGAAATCTTAGAGTAGTTTTGATTTGCATTTCTCTAATTGCTAGAGATATTGAGCATTTTTTCATATACTTGTTGACCGATTGTATATCTTCTGTGAATGATCTGCTCAGTTCCTTAAGTCCATTTATTGACTGGGTTATTTGGTTTTTTGGTATTAAGTTTTTTGAGTTCTTTATATATCTTGGAGGTTAGTTCTGTATCTGATATGTGTGTGGTAAAGATTTTCTCCCATCTGTTCACTCTCTCTTCACGTTATTGATTGTTTCCTTTGCTGAGAAGAAGCTTTTTAGTTTGAATCCATCCCATTTATTGATTCTCGATTTCATTTCTTGTGCTTTAGGAGTCGTGTTAAGGAAGTCAGGTCTTAAGCTGACATGATGAAGATTGGGCCTGCTTTTTCTTCTATTAGGTACAGAGTCTCTGGTCTAATTCCTGGAATTCTTGATCCACTTTGAGTTGAGTTTTGTGCCTGGTGAGAGAGGGAGTTAATTTCATTTTGCTGCATATGGATTTCCAGTTTTCCCAGCACCACTTGTTGAAGAGGCTATCTTTTCTTCATTGTATGTTTTTGGTGCCTTTGTCTAATATGAGATAACTGTATGTGAGTTTGTCTCTGTGTCCTCTATTCTGTACCACTGGTCTACATGTATGTTTTGGTGCCAATATCATGCTGTTTTTGTTACTATAGATTTGTAGTATAGTTTGAGGTCTGGTATTGTGATGTCTCCTGCTTCACTCTTCTTGCTAGGGATTGTTTGGCTGTTCTGGGTCTCCTATTTTTTTCAAATGAATTTCAGGATTGCTTTTCTGTTTCTATGAGGCAGACCATCCAGTTATAAAGCAATATATATGTCTCTGAAAAACACCCAGATTCTGAAAATTTTAGTCCCTAAAAATAGGGACAAACCACTCAGAAGCCTGTGCACCATTGTACTGTGTGTTCTAACAAACTCAGTAACCATTCTAATAAAAATATTAATACACTTAAACATTTGCAACCAACACCAGTTAGTTCTAAGATTTATGTTTTCTCCTTTGACATTCATTTCTACTTATGATCAATTTGTCAGAATTCATCAGTTGATCCAGGATGTGGTCTTTCATTCCTCCACCCTTTAAAACATAAATACAAAGAAAACATTTTCACAGCTTCTTTATCTCTACCTGCAGCCTCATGAGGTGGTTTAAATTTGAAGCCATTAATGAGTCCCCAGTTGTCCCTTCTATAGAATTTAGTTTATTCTTTAAAATCATGATATATTGATAAGGCTGTCTTAGTGAGAAAGCTTGTCTCTTATGGCTTTAAAACATCCCTGCGCTTTGAAAAATTATGGGTCAAAGTGACTTTCACACTATACTGACCACATCTTTAATGATGAACGAATGAACTAATTCACACTAAAGAAACATGTCTTGTAGGGAAATGGACTGTAGTCTCTCCCAGTCCCATTGTTTTGTTGTTGATACTTCGTGTATTGAACTGTATTTGTGTATTTTCTTGTTTATTCTTTCTGTGTTATTATTTTCAAGCATCTCTCCCGTGTAAGGAGGGAAGTAATGGTTGGTGGAATGGGCTTATCAGTACTAGTCATTCCTTACACTTACATGTATAGCTTTATGTTTTATAAGCTGTATGGGTTATCTCATTTTGTTGTTGTTGATAATTATTGTGTATTACTTGTTTTGTTTTTGCAGTGCTGGAGATCATACCCAGGTCTTCTGCATGCTAGGCAAGCACTTTCCCTTTGAACTCCATCACCAGTCCAGCTTGCTGTGTATGTCAAATAGTATGGTATTCATTTAGGTGTTATCATTCCCACATAGTAAAAGAAAGGGCTTTACAATTAGGCAAACTTGTGACTAAATCAAATTTATATTAAAGAGTTGTGGCTTTGTGAGGGTTATGCTGATTATTTGGTACAATTCTTTTTTTTTTTTTTTTCTTAAGCTTGTCCCCCTTATTTTTATTGGTACATTGTAATCACAATATAATAATGTAATTTGGACAGTATTATTCCTCAGTTTTTTTCTCCCCTTCTCCCTCCCCTAGTTCCTTTCCTCTACTGTACTGATCTCTCTTCCTGATAGGATTCTTTTGAAAATGTTAAGATATAATTAATACTCTCTTTACCTTTTTTTTGGTCATTATGGTATATGTACTTGATTCACTTCCTCACCTGTCTTTTCATAAGGATTAATTGATTTCTGGCCGAGAAACGAAAGTAAAATCATCCCATTCCCCAGTGGATTAGAATGGAAACTGGTAATAAAATCAAGTATAACTCCAAGAGGGGACATTGAAAGAGAACCAAGCTGGGTCCATAAGGATTACACATGAAATGTTACACATATTTATGCTGTATCAAGGTTATGACCATCTTGTCACATCAAGCTGAAAATGTCACCACTATTCTGGATAGTTGAGAATATTTAATTGGGAATATGAGCTTTCTGTTACAGAGATGATGTTGTACTCGTTTTGGTTGGTTTGGTAATTAATCTATGAAACATTTGAAAAAGAAAAAAGACAGAATTTATATAAAACACCTAGTACAATGATTTGAACACAATACATGTTCATTCATTCTTTTTTAATGATGAAAGTGAATTGTTCAAAGTGAATGGTGAGTCAAAAGTCAGATTCACTGACTACCATATTCCTGTCTTCAGTTGTATACGAAAAAAAAAAAGAAACCAAACTGTACTATAGGTTCAGAAATGGAGCAATAAAGATATATACATATACTCATGAATGCACGTATACATGCAGATGCTCTTATTGATTTAAGGTTTGTACTTAGTTGATAAGTTACATTCATTCATATTCTTTTCTACTCAGATATTGATGGTGATGATGGTAAAAGATTGGTAGGGAAGCTTTCCACTTGATGGAAATTCTTGTTCTCTCATTAGACTACTGCCACTTTAGGGTGAAGGATGCTGTACTTAAGGTTATATCATCAGTCTAATTCATACCTGTTTGCAGTTTTCCAATAAATTATTTAAAAAAAAGTTTTCCTAGCTCAGTTATAGCACTCAGGCATTGGCAAATTCATTGTTTACTTTTTAAAAAGTGTGGTGTAGTATTATATACACTTACATAGTTATCTTACTTAAAAAACTTTTTTAATTGTACATGGATAGAATGCCTTTATTTTATTTATTTTTATGTAGTGCTGAGGATCGAATCCAGTGCCTCATGCATTCTAGGCAAGTGCTCACCCACTGAGCTCCAGCCCCAGCCCCAGCCCCAGCCCAGTTATCTTACTTTTTAATGAAATAAAAAATCT